ATAGAAACAGGTTTTTTCTTAACAGCGGTCGTCCCTCGGCAGGCAATGGCAAACCTCCGAGTGTATTTCTGCCATGCAAAACAGCTTCTCATAAAAATACAATCGCCGTTCGGAGTCGGCGTAAAACAGTAGGTCCCTCCGATTTGTGTGACAACATCAAGGCGCACGCCTCAAATCGGAGGAGAAGCTCGGCCAAACACTAACATATGTGTAAGCGCCAATCTATTATTATTATTATGCGTCATATTAAAACACACCCCGTGTGTCCGCCACTGACTGACACGTGGTTTAACCACCAAACCCCCCCGCTGGATCCGCCACTGGTTTAAACCCACCAAAACAATATCATAAACTGTCGTCAGATGCCATTAAATTATTATCAACTGTTGTAAATGTGGATGCGGAATTGCCATCAGAAAATATATATATGAGCTTGGATACTTCAGATGTGCTAGTCTGACGGTGTATAAAATTGTTATCTTAAAAATATATTCCTGTACCAACAAATATGTATGTCTTGTTTATTGATTCATTCAAAATCCCGCAGTTCCCGTGTAAATATGAACATCAAGATATTTAGAAACAAACATTAAGACCTCTCAAGTATTTGTCCGAGCTTCTCTTCCGATTTGTGGCGTGCGCCTTGATGTTGGCGCACAAAGGGGAGGGACCACAATAGTTTTACGCCGAATCCGAACGGGGATTTTACTGTTATGGGAAGCTGTTCTTCGTGGCTGAATACACTCGGGGTTTTGCCATTGCCTGCCAAAGGGCGACTTTATTACAAAAAACTTGTTTGTTTCTTATTTTTTGATGTTGGTCGGAAACTGGGCTTGAACCCAGGCCCTGTGGAATGATACGCTAGCAATATACGGTATATTGCTAACCGTTACATCACATTATATAACAAAAAAGTAGAAAACATGACCTTTTATACTTAACTACCTTAGTTTTGCTAAAAATCTGATTATTTTAAGCGTACACAGCAGCCATTATTGATCCGCCATTTTGAATTTCGAAATTATGTGGTGAAATTTAAAACCAGCAACCAAAATAAAGACGAATACACAAGGTTTGATTACAATTGTACCATGCTTCGACTTGGCCAGCTTTTTCGAAAAATTGGCCACTGTGCGATGGTACTTAGAATTCAACGCTGAGCTTCCGACGTGTTGAAAAAATGGTTCAATGTTATAATGAATTAAACAGTGTATAATTATATAGCAAACATCTTTAAAAAAATATATTTAGAAACGTGGTATTATTATAAAATATTTTAATTACTTAATCACATCAGTAATATAAAATATAATAAATTTGTTTGCAACTGCCTCCTGACAAAGCGGCGTTGAATTTAATATAAACGGCGCAAATATTTTCGATCAGCTGTTAATGCTTAGCCCAACACGTTGAGTTCAGGTAGCGTAATAATTTTCCGCTGAAAAAAATGGCGGACAGTTGCCAACTGTTGAGCTGAGCGGAACTACTCAACTGTGCGTTTCTAAGACAAATAGCCAACGGTGAGGCAACAGCTACGTCTTATAAACGCGCCCATTATTTCCATCATAAAATTATTTCGCTACATGAACTCAACAATTTAAGTCAAAAATGAATTTTCCCTTCTGTCAGTTTTCATAACAAACTCACAAAAAAAACTTTTTTCTGTAAATTGCTGGTGAAACTGGGTTAAACAAAATAAAATACACGTGTAAACACACATACATATTTAAAATAAAATAGAAATGGGAAATTCGTGGACTTAAAAGCATATGTATGTACATTAGACTGCATAACTCCCCATACAAAAAACAAGGCACTCTTTTTCCATTGGAATTATAAAATCTATTATATTTTAAGACGCCCACCAAATATTTCGGAAAAATGACAACACAGTTTAAGCTAAAAAATTTACATAAAAATATTAAAAAAATAATAAATTTTGAACGGATGCGTAATAATGAGATTTTTGGTGCTATTTTTTAACTTTTTTCAAAGATTGGTATAAGTAAAACTTGAACAACTGAACCTAAACTATTCCGATTTAGACATGCGAGGTATCATTGGAAAGGTATTTTATCACCCTTTTTATTTCTTTGCTAATAAGCTCATTCAGAGGATAAAAGAGAAAGATAGGATGAACGAACATCACTGAAAGTTGAAATAAGATGTGTTGGTTTTGAAAAAAAAATTGGCACACGAATGACTTTTTTTGCACATAAATAAAAATAGTGGGAAATACCTTTTTACCGAGATCCCATAAGTCTAAATCAGACTAGGTTTGGCCCAGGTATTTAAGTTTTTCGTAAATCAATCTTTGAAAAAAGTAAAAAAAAAACAACATCAAAAATTTCATTATTACCATTCCGTTGAAAGGATATTTAAATATTTTTATGCAGATTTTTTAAGCCTAATTGGTTTTGTCATCTGAGGGTACTTTTTTCAAAAAGTTCTTTAAGAAACTATTTTTATTCATAAAAAACTCCATTTTTGGAGGTATTTTCCAATCGGTCCTGCTCGCTTAAATCTTCATATTTTTCTGAAATATTTTGGTGGACGTTTTAAAATATAATTGATTTTGTAATACCAGCGGAAACATCGCAACTTTTTTTGGTGATGCAGTCTAATGTTCATATCTGGAGGCTGGATTCGCAGTAGACGATTACGAATAACGCACTGAAACCGTGCCATTGCAGACTCTTGGCAAATAAACGTGAAAAAATAGTTATGGTGCTAGCAAGTCAAGATTCCTTGTGGTTTAAGGAATAAATGGAATGATGTATCGTATATACATACTTGTACATCTTTTTTCCATAATAATTTTTTTTATTTTTGTGCTCCTTTATTTAATTTTCCTTGTTAACAAATATCAGCAGTTCGTTTGGCAGTTTATCTATTATACCATTTCTAAGACGTAACTGTTGGACTCAACAATTGACCGCATTTCCGCAACAGTTGAGGTAAACAGTTGCATCTTAAAACGTGCCCAATATTTTGATTTTACCACGATAAAAACATTACAAGGCAAAATCATTGAGAGACAGTCTGACGTTCGCCAGCAATATAACTTTAAAATTCGAACTCAAGCTCACACACACATTCTCATTTTTAATCTCAAACAACAACAATTGTGTACAATTTCATTTTTTTGTTTTCAATTTTATATGATTTTAAAATGTTTGCAAACGTCAGAAAAAAATCATGGCCGACGAATTGAGAGAATGGTTTTACTTTCTAATGTTTTTATCATGTTTTTTACTGGGTGTAACTCAGTCAAATGAGTATTAAGGAAAATAAAAATTTGAGAATAATAAACAGAAAAAGAGATGGGTGCACAAAAAGTTAAGTTAAATATTATACCAAAATTCTTAAAAAGTAAACAAATCTATTTTTTCTTTTTAATGTTACTGTATAGAGAGAGAGCTCTTTTAATCTATTTTATTTTTTATGAATAAGGCCATAAGCATATACCGTTTTTATAAATAAATCTTATAGCAAGATGCTATATACATATTTATTTATACACTTTTTGGCCGGCGAAATATGTAGTTTTTTCAACTTAATAAAAAAGCGTATTTAACCACATTAAAATTTTTTTAATATCGAATGGCGCAACACAACAACTCTTTTTGCCGTGCACGTCATCTATTTCTTCTGTTTCGACATTGCGCTATTTTGCATTTCTTTCATTTTGACGTCATTCGCATTGTCAGATTTTTGAAATTCGGTTTGGTTCGACATTCTGCTATTTCATAATTATTTCATTCTCATGTCATCCATCTTCCATTTATTACC